ATCGAGAAGAACCATAAATATTTGCGCATATATTTTCTCTTTTGTAAACTATTATTCACGTTCCTCTAGAGAAGAGTGGGAGGGAGACAGGGACAAAATGGTTCCAAATTGTGTTATGCATTATTATAAAAAAAAAAAAATTTGTGTTGTGCAAGAATTAAATGGTCTAAAGGCTTCATTTTCATGGAACCATATTCAATATAATCGAGCCTAGGTAGATTAAGGTTCCATTTATTTGGTCGTTGTTTTATTCGCAGCTTCATACCAAGCATGCGTGTTAATTTTTTTAAAAAAGGATATGTCATTGATGCAATATATTTAATTGTTTTATTTTATATTAAAACTGGACTATTTCAGGCTGAATATTAAAATCGAATTTATCATGACAATTTGTATTTAATATTTACAAATACGCCCACAAGCGTAATACGTCAAACATTGACTGTTTGACCAAAATAAAATCAATCACACTGACCTGAACTTCCCGTTCAAAGCATAAAAATTTTACATGGACACGTATGCTGCTTTAGCAATTGTAATCTTTTTATTTATTATTGTAAATGTATTCAGACATGTTTGATGTGGACGAATCAAAGAAAATATGATTTATAAATTATTCTCAAGTAAAAAAGTTTGACACAAAATATTAAAAAAATCAATAAAAAGGAAGAGCGTTGCCCCGATGAATATGAGCCCTTTTAAATTTCAATTGAGTATGATTAATTATAAAAATAATTAATTAATATGATAGATTTTAATCATAATTGATCATGTTATAATACAATCTGTTTGGATGCTATTTTTTTAAAATTAAGTTTAACAAAATTGAAGGTGTTTGAATAATTTAATTAGAATCAATTTTAGTTATACAAATTATCATAAAGGATACTGCTTTTTAAAATTAAATTATTAATAAATTTATATCTAATATTATTAAATTTATTAAATTTTATTTAAAAATTAAAATATATTATTTAAATTATATATTTGATTAATTATAAAAATTTAAATTATATTAATATTAACAATTTTAATTTACATAAATAAATAACTTAATATATCTTAGTTCAAATAAATTTAAAAAAATAAAAATATTTAATTCTTGAATATTGAACATTAATTTTATAATAGTCAATAAAGATGATAATATATAAGTTAATTTAATAACATTACGAATATGAGTCAAATGTAATGAAAATATTAAGCAATGCCTAAAAATTTTGGCAACATAAAAAAAGTAATAAATGATGCACAATCTCTCTCTTTCTCTTTTTTTGAACCTTTATAATAATCTTTATAATTACTATCAATTTTAAATTAAATTAAATTAATTTTTCTCCATCAATTAATATTTTATTTGAGTTAGTTCTATAATAAATGTTAAGTGAAGGATGATGGTTAACAGGAACTTATGTTAATAATTTTTTTTTGAGAATTTAAAGTTTGAATTTTATTAAAAGAAGAAGAAGAGAGTTTAATTTTATTTTCATTAAATTTTATACTTTTTTTATAATTTTTTAGGCTTTTTTTGTAATTTTCTCACATGTTTTTTATCAGATTTTGTTTTATTCTCTTCCCTTCTCATTTGAACGCAGAAGCTCACAGAGGTAGCTCATGAAAAAAATTGATTACCCACTTAAATTGGTGTTTGGGTAATTTTTTGAAAAATTAATTTTTTAACTTAAAAAATTGATTATTATACTAATCCAAACACGCAGTGAGATTTCAAGGATGACGTGATAATAAGTCACTCTTCATTATTTATGCCCCTACGCTATCCTGGTCCCAGTAGACTCCTCGGGGCAGGAACGGATCAATTAGGATTTCTAGTTCAGGGGATGGGGTTTATGAATCATATATAATAATAATTTAAAAAAATATTATATATTTATTTATATACTTCTTCCGTTTTTATATATAAAATATTTTTTATAATTTTTTATTTTAAATATAAAAATTTATTAACATATTTTATAATAAATAAATTATTATAATCTTATTAAATTAAAAATAAAAAAATGAGCATTCTCATTAATTTATTTTAAAAAATATTTATTTTTTTATTTATAATAATTAAAAATAAAATTAAAATATTATTGTTCTTTCAATTGAATAACTAACTTGTATTAATTTATATGATTCAGTTAAAAATATCTCACGTATAAGGACAAATGGAGTATAACATAACTCAAATGCTTCAACATAATCACAATTAAATTTATAAATAAATAATAAAATAAACATGTACTTTCATTATTTAAGTGTTGCCCGTTGATTCATGAAGTAGTAATTAAAATAATCACCATCATGTTTGCAGTAAATTTTGAAGCAATTTATTACTCCATCTAAAGTCTAAACTATCATTAAATTAATATAAAATTTATTTCTTATCTTGTTGTGAAACCTTTGTTTTATGATTTTTAGAGCTACGAAAACTCGTTCAATGGCCGTAGTTGGCACTAAAAGAGATAGCACAGGCCTTAGTCTTCTATCGACTAAAGTCTAAAAAGTAGACTTTACAACTTCCATCCAGACATAATTAACTTATAAATAGTCAAGTTATTAAAATTAGGACTTTTGGGTACGTCAAGATGGCGATGTTGTATTTCATATTCTAATTGAATTTTTTTCTTGCCAGAAAAATCTAAGCAGTGAAATTTATCCACAAGATCCTCCATGTTCCTAACATTAAAAGATTTAAATTCATCTTTGTGATTTAAAGTTGTGGCCGATTTAAGAAGTTTTGTTGCCTGAGCATTGAATCTATTATTTATTTCTTCCAATTGATAACCCATGACACAAATTAAATACTACTTTCATCTTAAATTATAAGATTTTTGAATAAAATATCATATACTAATAAACCTAATTAAATATAGTTAAAAATTTTATCTTTTTAAAATAAAAATATAAACTTTTAAAAATATAATTCGTTTAATATATTAAAAAGAAAGGGATGGAAATTCGAGAGAGAAAGAAAGAGTAATATTAGAATAAGCTTATTTATGAAGCTTTAATTTTTTTAAAGTGTCTTATATTTTGAGATATTAAATTTTCTCCAAAAGCATCTTATAATAGATAGAGGGGATATATCAATATAATAATAATGCTCAACTATCATATAGATGAGATCAAACGATCATATCAAAATAAAAAAAATTTCAATTCCTCAGCTTTTAAAAAACGAAGCCTTTCTTTTTCTTTTTTTTTTTTAAAAGAGACCATTCCAAACATAATTTCATAACTTTTAAATAAGTGATTTTGTAATAACTTTTGTCATTGTATGTTTAGTATATATTTAGATATAGTCAAACCATATCAAGTATATACAACTAATAAATATATGTGTGAGTCAAAAATATATAAATTTTATATTTTATTAAAAAAATTTTGGAAGAATTACATTGAAATTCTATGCAAGGAAATTAATTATTGTAAGACCCATTGATAATTGAATTAAATTGCATTGACAACTTGTCAATGCAATTTAGTTCAATTTTTAATAGACTTTATAATAATTAATTTTTTTGTGTAAAATTTAATTATAATTTTTTAGTTATTAATATAGTTTAATTTAATTATCAATAAATTTTATAATAATTAATTTTTCCACATAAAGCTTAATTGTAATTCTCTCAAAAACTTTTAACAGGTTAGGGGCCGCGATTAGAGCCGTCAATTAGGGCCGAACCCGTAGGGCCAGCCCTTTTAGGCCTGAAAAAAATTGAGGGCCGGGCTTCTATTTTACCTTTAAAAAGGTAAATCGGGCCTAAAAGGGCCCCTTTTAGGCTCGAAAATAAAAGGCCGGCCCTTTTAGGCCCGTTTATAATTTTTTTTAAAATTATAATATAAAAAATTAAAAGATTAATACATAACTCAAAGAAATGAACATATTAAATGCATTCATCCATCCATCATTTATTTATTAAGATTTAGCTGATAATATTAACTAAGTTTAATTTTTATTGGTATTCACTTTGATGTTACTATTTGATATTAACCTAAATATTTTAGTTTTCTTTATTGTTATGGTGTAAATTGATTTAAATTTATTTTCTTAAACTTAATTTTATGAATAATAACTTTTTTATGATTATAAATATATTTTTTTAAATTTTTAATTGAAAAAATAATTTTAAAAAAATAGGGCCGAGGCCCTGAGGGCCGGGCCTTAAAAAATAAAACCCTGACATGTAATCGAACTTATTAGAACTAATCTGTTTAGACCCTGATCCTTTCAAAGAAGGGCCGACTTTAGGATCAGGCTGACTCTAATTGACAGCTCTAGCCGCGATTCCTGATTTTCCCTTGGATATGCCAGTGTGCCACTGCCCACTGGGCATGTTGGGGCGGCTATAGCCTCTGTAGCCTTTTGAGGAGAAAATTTTCAACTCTGAAATAAATATAAATAAATAAATATTGCAAATATTTACATCGGCAACGGGAAAGAGATTAGTCATGAATTTACCCTCTGAAGTCTGACCCAATCAAGATTTTTTTTTTATAACTAAAATGCTTTATTCAATCATTTGAAAAATACATGATTAATTATGCGCGTGTGCATCATTCAAAATACTTTTAACGCCTTTATAAATTTAAAATCCACCCATTGCATGAAGTGGTTTTTTTTTTTGGGCCAAATTGCATGAAGTGGTTGGAAAGAGACAAATACAGTATAAACGTTAAATTAATGTATATAAATATTTTCCTAGAATTAAGGATGTACCCAAAATACAGAGGATCAATAGTTTTTCCTTAGACGAGGGGTGTAAGTTAAAATTTAGTCACGAAAGGATGGAAAACACAGCTTTAAGCAGAGCATTTTAGAAAATATTACAAAAATTTATCCAAAAAAAAAAAATATGCGAAGGAACAAGTTAGGGTGCACGTAATATATACAGCAGAAAGCTGGTGAATAGCACGTGGTGGGAGCAAATGTCGTCGTTCTTGCGCCATGAAGGCTGAGGCCGCCTAATTTTGTGTATAAATTCCGACGCCACCCCCTCATGCGGCTCATACCCTCACACACACACACACACACAATACATTAAGCCCAACTACCTGCCCTGTTCCGGAATCCATGGAGGTGATAAGAGTGCAGGACATAGCCTCTCTGTCTCAGGGCGATATCCCCCCGGAGTTCATTCGGTCGGAGACGGAGCAGCCCAGCATCACCACCGTCCAGGGGGTTCAGCTGGAGGTTCCCACCATTGACTTTAGCAACCCCGACGAGGAGGAGCTGGTGTCTCAGATCGTGGATGCCAGTAGCCATTGGGGCATGTACCAGATCGTCAACCATGGGATTCCTCGGGAGGTTATAGCCAATCTGCAGGCTGTGGGCAAGGCCTTCTTCGAGCTCCCTCAACAAGAGAAGGAGCTCATTGCTAAGATTCCTGGCTCTGTCGAAGGTTACGGCACTTTGCTTCAGAAGGAGATTCAAGGCAAGAAGGGTTGGGTCGACCATTTGTTCCACAAGGTCTGGCCTCCTTCCGCCATTAACTATCGCTTCTGGCCCATAAATCCTCCTTCTTACAGGTTTTTCCTCTTCCGCTTTCTTTACATTCCATTCTATATAAAACCTACAAATCCATATCCAATATGCTACTTTTTTGTTTTAATTGAGTGGATTTAAATTGATCAAAGATTATCTTTAATGTCTTATCTTTCAATATTTGATCCCTCCCAATTGAAGGGATTGGAAAATTGGTCAGGGTCCACGTCAATCTATAAGTCGAAATCATTAATATTATTTCACGGTGCCGCACATTCTCCACCACACATCTTATAGTTATAATCAATAATCAATAATGTTATTTTAATGACAAGTATGGAATTTTATTCAAGCTATGACTGAAACACCAAACCGATTGATAGTAATGTAAGAGTTAGTGACTGATTGAATCAGGGTCAACTTAATTAGTCATGGGTAAAATAATATAATTAATTAAAACATATAAAACTATTATTACATAATCCTAAAAAGAGTAATATTTAAATAAAAAGGCATTAATTGTATTTATAAGTAAATGAAACATTCATGTATAAATTACACACAATGGACTGATCTTTTCTTTTGACACAAGACGATGTTATTCCCAGCTCAATAATATACAGGAGGAGAAATAAACATAAACCCGGTCGTCGAGCTCACTGATCTGACCCGCAAACTTGGGCTGAGTTTGAACTTTTAATGCCATGGCTGTCTTGAATGAGTATTTCGGGTCACCCAAACATATATGTCACGTGGATGTTGCAGGGTCATGGGAGCTTTGATGGAAAGTGGTAGCTAGACAAAGGAGATCAGGAAATCTGCATCTCTCATAAATGCCATCATCCTTTTAGGAAAAGCCAGTCGTCTCTTGCTAAAATCAACGAGGTCGATGAGGATGAATTAAATTATAGCCTAACTCTAGTTTTTATAGACGTTTTTAGCTGGAAAAAGAAAAGGCAGCTTGGTGGAAAGCCCTTGTTATGGGAGTTATGTTGCAATGAGATAAGTAATTAACTAATTCAAGGACGGGACACGTATATTAAATTGAACAAGAAGACGAGATCAATATTATATATGTGTGGTTATGAATGAGTGGAAAATATGCATGAAATGGGCAGGGCGGCGAACGAGGAATACGTGAAGAAGCTGCATGGGGTAGTAGAGAAGCTGTTCAAGAGCTTGACGAGAGGGTTAGGGCTGCAGGGAAATGAACTGTGGGAAGCGGCGGGTGGTGACAAATTGGAGTACCTTCTGAAGATCAATTACTACCCTCCCTGCCCTCGGCCTGATCTGGCGCTTGGGGTCCCACCTCACACAGACATGTCCACCTTCACCATTCTCGTCCCCAACGAGGTCCAAGGTCTTCAAGCCTTCCGGGATGGCCACTGGTACAATGTCAGCTACATCCCTAACGCCCTCGTCATCCACATCGGCGATCAAATTGAGGTACCAACCTACGTCTTCTAGCGTCTTCTTCTTTTGCTTTGATTTTATGATCACGATCAATGGCTGATGCTGCTTTTGCTGCTTTTGGAACTAACGTCAGATCATGAGCAATGGCAAGTACAAGGCAGTGTATCATAGGACAACGGTGAGTGACAAGACAAGAATGTCGTGGCCTGTGTTCTTGGAGCCTCCCTCGGATCATGTCGTGGGGCCTCTCCCTGCTCTTATTAACGATCAGAATCCACCCAAGTTCAAGTCTAAGACTTACGGTGACTATGCTTACTGCAAGCTCAACAAGATTTCTCAGTGATTCTTTACATTCTGTGTTACTACACACGTACTCAATTAAGTGGTCTTCCCTTTCACATACATCGTCTCCTTGTTTTACAAAACTTTTTATGTACGTAGAATAACGATGGTGGTCCCGGCCCTTGTTTTGGATGGATAGCCTTGCTTTGTGATTGCACAATAAGTGTAACTCATATGTAACTTCCGCTTTGACTTCGCAAATTTAATATACAATGAAAACCGTGTTTTCGTATTATATCCTTTTGCTTTCGTCGGTTGAAGAGAAAAGCTTTGACTAATTGAGAGAAAAAAAATTTATAAATGTGCGTGTGTGTGTGTATTTATATTTAAATATGTCTATATATTTGACTACAAAGTGGGCAGATAAGAATAAGTCCGGTTTACTTACTAAAAAGGATTGTAATAGAATTAATTAAAAAAATTAAGATAAAAATAAACTAAATTACTTTTTTTATGAGAATTATAATAAAACTCATTAATACATATGGTAAAAATGTGAAAATCACCATACTTTTTAAAAATTTTATGAATTATAATTTTTAAATTTCAACATCATAAATTAAATTATCCCTTATCCTTATAAATGTATTTATTTACCCTCTTTGATAATCTTATTTTTATCTTTATTTTTTAATATATTTCCTTCTATTTCTTTTTAATAAACAAACAGGACCCAAGTTTTTGTCATTATCGCGACAAACATAAATATGGTCATCATGGCTCGTACGCAAACCGTTATATCCGCGTTCCGGAGGTGTGAAATGATCAACGATTCATTTATTTCATTGCGATAGTGATGAATATTGTCAAATTCCATTATATTTTTCTAAACTGAATATATTGGTGATAAAGTGACGCACGTAGCATATGACAAAAAATTTTAATGGCCCTTTATTATTTACGCAACATAGTCAATGTTTTTGCGCATGAGTACAGTACTTCTTGGTTATATGAAGTTATAGATATGCAAAGAAAATATTATATAAAAATTTACAAAACAAGGTTTCTTTCTACTGCATTTTTCTGTATTATAATTTTTAAAATATATCAACTTTTATCCATATGGATTGATTTATGCTTTTAAAAATTTTCAAATTTCAACTTTCAAACTTAACCAAACAGTGCATGATTCAATGGTTTGCTGTCTTAATGGAGAGAAGTTTGTCCAAAAACGTAACATAAGGTGGCTTTATAGCATTACGTGGGCGAATGCTGAACTTGCACCGTGAGGTGGCTTCGTAGCATTACGTGGGAGAATTTATTTATAAAAAAAAAATTATCACTTTTAGTTTGTTTCTTTATATAAGTAAATTCACACTTTTTAATAACATTTATTACAAATTTTTAAATTATCCTTTATAATTTTATCATTTATAATTATAAGAAATAATTAATAAAAACTTGATAAATACAATTAATAAATAGTATTGTAATCTAATTCTTTTATTTTCAATTACAATTAATATAATTAACTAATTTTTAAAATTGTATAATACAGTTTTTTTCTCTTACAAATAGAAATGAAGGAGTGTGATAGTAGATTCCCTGTGAACTGTGATGTTGTTGGGGATTTAAAGCTGATCCCAGCCTAGTAATTTAACTTTATGATTGAAAATTCTCAAGTTATTTTTTTTATTAAATATAACTTTTTCATATTTTTACCATCATAGTTCCTTCACCCTAATTTATAAGATACTTTTAGACAAAATTAAACATAATAATAAATCTCATTAATTAAATATACTTTATAATTTTATTTTTTAAAAAATATAAGCTTATAAAAATGTCCTTCATTTAGTACTTAACTTTTAAAAGTATATTAGAGAAAGAATATACTGGGAATAATAATATTTAAAAAATATCATTAATAAAATCTTATTTTATCAAAGTGTACCTATATTTTGAGACATCAAATCTCTCTTAAAAATGTTTTATAATTTAAAATGAAGTGGGCACTTTTTTTAATACTCATAAATATTTTTTTATTAAAAATAATATTTATTCTTTTAAGGAGCGAGAAACCCTTTTCACAAGACCCATTCTTATCGGTGGAGCTAGTACTTCTCAATATCTATCCATTTAGTGATATTATTGTAAGGGTTTTATTTTTGGGGGAACCTGCACCATTATTAAAAACAGCATGGCCACGGATTCGTCTGTGCGATGTTGTCAGGTTTTTAAAGTTGAGCGCAATAATTCAACTGTGTGATTAAATTTTTTTTAAGATTCCCGTATATATTCGTTAAAGTCAAATATGTATGATATACTCTGTATAAAAAGATCATATAATTTTCACATACTCTGATGATATAAATATACAAATATATTTTTTGGAATTCATCGTAATGTCAATTTGCGGGCAAGTCAGAAACAGACTAAAAGGCAAAAGCCTTCACTTACCGACCAGAAGATCAGAAATTCTCATGTTCTAACGTTTTATTGCAATTTTTCGGTATTATTAATAACATTTTGACAAATTCAAAATTTTCATTGAATGAATGTAGAATTCAACTGAATCGCAATATAAAGCTAAAAGTGAATATTAACCACTAAGACAACGAGTGAACCGCAATCTTGCTATCATTATCATTAATAGTTGAATACTATCTAGCTAGCTGGTCCACTTTTGCATCAGCAAAATTTGAACTCCCGCTTGTCTTTTCACACACAGAGATGTTAGAATATCAATCACGACAAGTCTACAATTTCTACTCTTGGGATTATGTTTGATTCCATTTTAGTTACTTATTTACCTTTTGGTACAAGATTCCATTTTATTTTAGGTGTGCATTTCATTTGACGATTTGATCATTATATGGACTTCATAAATCACCAAGACGGGTTTAATATAAAGCCCAAAGGAGCAGTAGGCCCAACCCAAGAGATAAGACGAAGCCTCTGCCTTCCACCTGCTTTTAGTCCAGTCATTTAGGGTCGGTAACTCAAATAAAATGATGAATTCGGATCATGATCATGGTACTCGGTGTGCACGAATTCTTTGCTTTCTGATTTTTAAACGGACTTGTCCGTGGCCATCACACACACACGTATATAAGATAGGCCCCAAAAAGTCCTTCATCGTAGACAAAAGTAGAACTTTATACGCCCTGATCCAAAAGACCAAAACAATTGAACACTGTTTACTAGCGACCCAAGGCAACGTGATTCCTTTGTGATCGCACGTCATGCTTTCATGGAGTTTGAGAGCACTCTTTGAAGCCACAACCTCTTTATCCTGACACATTTTCTTTAGCTACTCAATATCTATCAGAAGAGTCGATGAGCTTGCTAACTCGCTAATTGCCACCTCAGTTTGAATATAGTCGGAGCTTACTCGTCAACAGAAGAACCAAATGAAGATTTACCCTCAACCGCGTGGTCCTCCTCAGGTTTCCATCACAACGTCGTCTTCTTTCCATGCTCACTTGCTATGTGTCCACATCAAAGCCTCTAGTCCACACAGGCACGGAGTAGATTAAGATCCCAAGAGAGAAAGACACACATATAGTAATCGCGGCATATGCATATGCTCTCCAAGGATGCTTGCTTTCCCTCATTGCGTTGAACTCAGCAGCGAATGTTGACACTGTACTCAGACACCCCATCAGACCAAACTGTATCCCTGCCACAACAGTATCACAATTCCTTGTGTTCACCTGCATCAACCGCCCAATACTGATCACCATCTCCAAAATAAAACAAAAACCAACGATGATTTTGCAGAAACTTACTGCTTCCTTGACAGTAGCAAGAGCAGCCATGACACCAGCAGCAGAAACATTGGCAATCAGAGTCCCAAATGGAATCCATTTCATGAGGCCTGAGCTCCCCAGTCCTCTTCCATTGAGGCGTGCTAAGAACCATCGAATCCATACACCTACAGGTCCGACCATACAGCCAAACCATAACTGAGCGGCACTTCCGCCATGCTTGAACTTAGCCTTCACCAGTGCGCCAAACACTCCCCATAATAATCCTAGCACCACCACCAACACCGCCATGACTCCTAACTGACGCTTGCAGGTACTCACCTTCCACTTCATCTCACATCTTTTACATACTGAACTCCTGTTGAGAAGCCACCTGAAACCCTTGGCTGTCTCTATTCCAAAGATGATGGAAAATGCAACGAGAAACAGACCTGAAAATCGCACTCATTGTTTTTTTGGGGTTAAAAAAATGCAAATGGGGAAAGGGGTTTCAAAATGGCACAGCCATGCCTCTATTTTACTTACCTATAAAAAAGCCAAGCGCAGCGAAAAGCCAATGCCCGGAAACACTGAGTTCCAGCATTTTCTGATTCCAACCACTGAAAGTCGTGAGGCTTCCTAAGTAACCAGTTGATATTGCTATGGCTAGGTGCTCTGACACGCGTGATATGTCTCCTTTGAATACAACACCAAACCATCCCATGAGAAAAGAACCCACCTGGCAGAATACGTACAATATTCGCTTCAGCAAAGCCATGTTGATCGAGTCAACATGAAGTCAAGTGTCATTCATTTAACAGCAAGGTCAAGACTTCTATCAGATTGGCCATTTTAAAGAAACTATACTATTTTCAAATTGCGCAACTCTAATAGTTGCTGCCTGGGCCCTTCGAATTAAACCTTGAAGGGCGCAATTCAACTGAAGAAAACTTTTTTTAGTCTTCGATGAGAAAAAAATAAATTAATTATTCAAGCTCACATCCAGTAATTATAGTCACCTGTATAAATCTTTTAGCCTAAAGAGCATGAATATTTGAGCCCACAAAAATTTTAGAATGGTGCCACAAAAAATTGTAGTCACCTGTAACATTTTCTTATTATGCAGCATGCGTAATTAAATTTATGCATCTATGACACAAAAATTGATCAAGTCCGAGGAAGGGGCGGACCATGTTACTGGGGAGGTCCAGGTAAAGAATAGTTTGGTCACTTGTCACACCACCAACTCCCGGGCCAAATAACTTTTGCAGTAAGTATCTTGTTAAGACCTGTGACAAGAAGTACATTAGAATCTTACCAATCACCAGAAGTCCCGACATGAAATTTGATCATTATAAGGATAACACGCAGTGAACTCAAAAATGGACTGGGCCTTTAAGGGATCAACTTTCATAGTGCAGATCTACAGAGCATGAATTGCAATGAAAACGTGAATAAAAGTGAAGTAAGTTAACCCCTGTTCTGCAAGATAACTTGGTAATTGTATGGCTCATTGAATCGTAGAAGGTAGGTGAAAGTACAATTCCAACTTCTTTTCATATGAAGCAATAGTGATAGAACAATGAAATGGCAATTGTTTTTTGGCCACCTATCAAATGTCAACAGAGACTAATGAACTAATCATTGACCAACCAAACGCGCAAGATATCCTCTTTTCAAGAAATCAAAGAAAATTTTAATAAAATTAATTATACTCTTTTAATCACACATACAAATTTAACATTTTGACATGCACATGCAAGTTTAACAAGTGGCTTGCAGTTGATGTAATTGAACAAAATCGGCAAAGTACAAGTTCAAGTTCTGTAGTTGGGGAAAAATGGCTAAAGCATAGCCAAAAAGAATAGCAATGCTAATCAAGGGTCAGGACATTACCCCAAGAATTCCAAAAACAGCTAAATGAACAAGACATGAGGCATAGTCAAGTAACTCCGGCAATCCCTTATCAGATTCCTGAAGAAGTAGAAATAACAAAGCAAGTTTTAAGTGGATTCATTTGAGCAGAAGTATATCAGAATTATTTTGAAAGATCCACCATAAAAGCTCACTTGTTTTGAGTCCTCAGGAGCCAGTATTGCAGCGGTGGGGATTGGTGATGAGGTGTCAGGCGGTAAAGGAGTAACAGGGGCATTGGAATGCAAAAACGCAGGGTGCGGCTGCGATTTGAGATTGTCGGTAATGGAAGCAGAAATCCCATTTTCCGATCGGCGATCAAAGGACAAGCGGAAGCTGTTACTGGCACCGTACCTCCTACTGGGAAGAGCTCGATCCCCAATATCTCCGGCCTCTGAAACACTATCACTCCCTGTTTCATCGTCTTCCTGTGTTTGATGGCTTCTACGACTAGACATGCTCAATGAATATCGTCTCTGCGAAGAACTTCCACTCCCTGTTTGCTCCATCTGGAGAGCAACACAAACGCCGGTCAAAGGCTGTTGGTTCTGCTGAGTTGACGCAAGAGCTTCGTTGCTAAATTAAATATAACCAAACTGACATCATGCAGAATGCAGCTGCCGTAACTGACCTTGTTTTCATTATCTTAATTTTAATAGGTAGGGGTGGGATGGGATGGGATGGCTCCACGATGACTCGACAAAAGCATGTGCCTGCAAGTTTAATAATCGAGATTGAACTAATCCATCTCCAGAAAACTAACACAAATTGGTCTCGGCAAGTCAATTACTACGCGCCGACTTATAAAAGCGAATCTCGAAAGTTGAATTAAATAAAAAATCAGTAAAACGAAAAAGAGCTTTTCATACTTCCCCTGTTCCTAACTTCCTTTTTATCTATATTGCCTTTTCATTTTTTTTCCCTAAATATTTGTCCCGTTTTAAATTTATAATCATAATAATAACTTATTTTCATTGATATTCCTTTAAATTTTTTTTCAAAAGTAATCAAAATTTAAAATGATTGGTGTTAAATAAAAAGCAAGAATTTTCTCTCTTTTTTGGTCCACGTTTTTGTTCTCAGAAAATATAATACATTTTTCAGGAAAGCTATTAAAAAATATAAGATATTTTAAATCTTTCAAGATGTAATGAAATTTTTTTAAATATATCTTTAATTAAAGAATATAATTAATAAGATCTTGTGAATTAAATGAAAATAAACATAAAAATGTTATTTAAAAAAATAATTGACTCATTAAAAATGCAATTCAATCCGAGTATTAAATTGAAGGAGTAAATATTACGTGGTGGAAAATAGATTGCACAGCAATATTTTATGGCTAGGGAACACTCGCTTACGCAACCCACATGGGAGGCAGCCAGGCAGGGTTGAGTTTGAGGCAGGCGGGGAAAGAGGACAAATATGGATGGGGTGTTATTCATGTTGTTCAAAGACGCCGTGAATTGGAAGTGGCTTTTGGAGAAAGGAGATTACGACTTTGAGATTCACAAGGCACCGCCACCAACCAACGAAGGGTCCGCCTCGTTTCTCTTTCGATTCTCTCTCATTTTAATTGACCGCAACTCCGTGAACCACGGGCTGGCAACTGCTTGGGGTGCCCCTGCGCACGCTTGACTTGACTGTATCTCTTCAATATGTACTTATTTAACGCGTGAAGCACACATTTGCCTACTTTCGACCTTTAACATTATATATATATATATATATATATTATCACTTCACGCCTCCCAATTTTGTGCAAAAATATTTTTTATATAAAAATAGAATCATCTGCAGTCAAACTTATTTGTTTCCAGTGACTGCTGATTAGTGTATTACTTACTACAAGTGCCCAAGTTTGAAAATGACAACAAGGGGGGGGATATGTCAGTCTAACTTGACAATCATCACCAGAAAATGACACGAATCCAAGGATAAATCTAAACGAGTCTGCCTAAAATTTATTTTATCTAGACATTGGAACTTTAAATTTCAATTGAAAATATTTTGCGGAGTCTATCCTAAATTCCTGGTAGAGAGCAGCAGCATTTCCTTACTTATAAAAGGCTTGATATGGGAGTTTTAAGCGAGATCTGCAACTCCGACTCCAGGAACAAGATCGAGAAGTTTCTCAACGTTGGCAACAATGGAAATCAGGGAGCGAACAAGTAAACCAAACTTAATATTAGAACCAGTTGTTACGAATCCTGTGACCTATGTCCTGCGGTCTCAAACTTTATCATCAAAGTAACCATTTCTTGGAACCAAACATCACCTCATACCGGAAGGGATATCAGTATTAGATGCATGAAACGAAAGCTGTATCTCTCTGCCCACATATCTTAATTCCCAATCAATTGGCCCAACAGCCATCTCAGATATCAGATTTATCGCCTTGTAAAACTATACGCACAAAAATAACTGCCAAGACCGCTCACATCTTCCAAACAGTTATGCAGTGTAGCAATATCCCAAAAAAGAATGAAGCGCAGATTGTAATCATAGCATCTATATAAGTATGCTTTCCCAGGATGCATGCTTTCTCTCGTGGCATTAAACACAGCGGCAAAAGCAGACATCGTACTGAGACAACCTAGTAAGCCAAACTGTATGCTTGTTACAACAGTGGCAGGGTTTTTGGTGTTCACCTGCATCAAGCCCCCATATATATAGCTCAGCACCTTCACATTTATCATGCAGATTATTAGACTTAAGTGGAAAACAAGGCCCTATCATCAAAAACAAAAAAGCAAAACAATAAAAGGGTAGGAGGGCAAGAACAGTGATTTAAAGAATTTAATACCAGTCAAAATTATAAAGCACGAAAGCAGCATGCCTAGAGCTAGTGAGCTTAACCTGCCAATCCACAAAAAAAGGTGAATTGGGCTGAAAAAAAAAAGTAGTTCATTTCTATGCAGGAAGTTTTAGCACTACTACATAGCTTTAATCCGTAACAGATTAATTTACAGCAAGCTCGCTTATATATATATATATTTTTTTAAAAAGATAGAAATTGCAGGATTATTTTTTTCAATTTTCAAACCCATGCCATTATTCAAATTATTAGAATAATTCAAATTTTATACTTATTACCTACTACTGTTATTACATGTCACATTTAATTAGTTGAGATAGCTATAAATTCATGACTAGTGAAATGTATTAGTGTAGCACATAGATATCCAACCAAAAACTTTGTCACAATTTAATTTGAGTAGAATATTTTCAAGTAGGTATGAGTATTATAGCTCTATTTTTTTGAATTATGAGTTACTGGACTGTCAAACTATAGACAAATCCTAACTTTATTTTTTCTCATATTATCTTCATTATTACGTTTTGCTTTAATGAACTCAGGTTTTTTCAGCTAGCAAAAAAGGAAAAAAGAAAAAGGTTAGCCTACTAACCTTTACTCAAATTAATGTTAAATTAATTTTATTTTTATACTTCTATATGTTAATTATATTTCATGTTTAATTGAGTGACGCTAATAATTAATTATAGATAAAGTTTCTAACATTATGATGAATTTATAATTTTTAAAATAAAAAAATATATATAAAAAATATTTTATATTGATGGGCTACCCCATGGGTTGTGGGTTAACCTATATTACCAACTTTAAGTATGCCTACAATATAAGAACGGGGATAATTTGGTATGGCAGAAGAAAAGGGAGATATGATGGAAAAGGCAACAAGAAACAGGCATGCTCCAATCGTTCATAAATTCATGTTATAAACTAGAACATACTGAAATAAGGCAGAAATTTAATCCATACTATTTAGGATAAGAAAATAGAGAGGGGGGAAAAGAGAGAAACGATGAGTGAGAAGAAATGCTAGAAAATTATTCATATCAAATGTGCCAGATTACCTATTAAAAAGCCAAGCACAGAGAGAAGAGCCAATGTTCAGAAACACCAAGTTCAAGCACTTCCTGATTCCAACCACTGAAGGTTATTAGGCTCCCCAAGTAGCCAGTAGTTAGCGCAATGGCTAGATGTTCTGATACATTGGATATGTCTTCTTTAAATACAACGCCAAACCATCCCATTAAAAAGGAACCAACCTGGAAGAATTTATTAAAAAAAATTATGTTGACATGATCTCTGAATGGGATTCCCCAGAACAACCTAAATGTAAACAACGTTATCACTTAAACAGCAAGGGAGAAATAGTAAGTAAAAACTTATATAAGTTTGCAAATTCTATAGGTCAAATAATTGAACAATCATGTCATAGAGACAACATTTCTAAACTAGTGTTTATTGTGAAGCAATTGTATTAAGACCTAATGCAATAAAGGATACCTCAAGATAAAATTAGGATACCTCAGGGTGCCATAGGGAATGTATCACAATATAAAAGCTCCCAATCAGGCACAATCCCATTAATACATCTTAGGAAATAATAAGATAAAAAACATAAACTAATAAAGAAACTAACAAAATAATTGCATAAGTCGCAATGAAACATTTTGGTTTCAAGCATTTTTAAATTTCTCACATTCCACAGAAATGATTCTGCAATATGCGATTCAGTGTTTTATAATCCATAATTCAATAATGATGTCACGACATGAAAACCCTCTGTAGTTAACTAGCAGAAAATTCCGAAATAGCATTCTCAAGTTATTTAACATCAAGAAAATTAACTGTAGTAGCTCACAATTTATTTTCTTCTTCTATTTCCCCCCTCTATTAGATCTTATTGAGTTTTGCTTATCAAAGAATCTTATCGAGTTTTAGCTTCAGAGATAGTTTTAACATCAAGAAAATGCCATTTCAGTAGCACAGAAGCTTATGTATGATAATTCGTGCATGCGATATAGAGGGAGAGAAGGACCATATTCGAAGGCAGGTCAGGGTAAAGAATTGTTTGGTCACTTGTCACACCAGTAACTTTGAGGCCAAATAACTTCTGCAATAGATATCTTGTTGAGACCTGCATATTGATAATGGTACATGGTGCATCAGGATCAGGGTAAATACTGCACATTATAACTTGAAATCGATAAGAAAGAGGTTGTCAATAATTCTTTAGTAGTTTGGAACCGGAAATGTACCACGAGAATTCCAAAAATAGCTAAATGAATTAGACATGAAGCATAGTTCAATATCTTAGGCAACTCTTGGTCAGATTCCTGAAAATGGAGACAAATGCGCCAGATAAGCCAAGTAAAAATCAGCATGGATAATATCCAGCAACCATCACCATAAGTCTTTTTTATTCCTTTGTTCCTTTTCGTTTCTTTTTTGACAAGGAAGGATGAATTCAAGATCACATCATTTATTCATTATCATTGATTGACAACTATTCACCTCGAAGAAGCTAGCAATGTGCAAGCAAAATCACTGCTACCAGCAACTTAGAAAGTAATGAAAAAGAAAAGTTTTCAACTGAAAAAGAAGAATACGAAGCAATAGTACACTTGCAAGGACATTAAGTCTCCTGTCTCCATGCAAGAGAGATCAAAAGACAATTCTATCCTCCAAAAAGAACGAAACATAGCATATTAAAATGAATTGTTTATTAATTTATTTGCTAACCATTAAAATGAATTAATTAACTCGCTCATTTAAAACATGCAGTTGATAAATCAAAACGCTTATTAGTACCATACT